GTCAGGCGAAGAGGAGGCCGCTAGACCTGGTTTTAGGAGCCCGTGGAAGCGACAGTCGACGGCCCCAGCGGGCGTCTCGTAAGGAATTGGCCTTCCATGTGAGGAGGCGGAGGCCGGTAGGAGAGACTCGGAGCCGAACCTGACAAGGGGGCCCAATGGCGTCTGCTTCTTTCTCCTCCTCCTCGTGGGCGCCTTGACGGATTCTTGTTTGCCGGAGTGATCCCGATGCCGAGTACCTCGGAGGCGGCGACGTCCGGAGGCGGGAGCAGTGTCCGGGCCTGGGCCGGCGGCGGCGGCGGCTCCGAATCGCCGGTGGCAGAAAAGAAGCGTTTGCATCACCGGCGGCGGAAGCGCTACGCTTCGGCGCAGCAGCCGCCTCCGTTGCCTCCGTCACCTGTGGCGGGCCCGCCGGCCCCTTCGCTGCTGTTCCCGCTGCTGCAGCCCTCGCTCCTGCAGCCGCCGCTGCCGCCGCAGTCCCTGCTGTTCCTGGCGGCCACTGGCGGCGCCGCCTCCTCCTGCTGTGGGGAAGGGGGGGAGCGGAAGCGGCCGCGAGGCAAGCGGCGCTCGGGGTCTCGGCACAAACGGCGGCGAGGCAGGTTAGGGGGTGCTGGTGGAGGTGCAGGGGCGGGCCTCGCAGCCTCGGAGCGGCGCGGGAGTGGGGCGGGCTTGGGGCCGCTGGTGGAGGCGGCGGCCGAAGAATACGACGACATAAGCTCCCAGTCGGAGGGGCCAGTGGGAGGCGGGACGGCCGGGGCAGGGAGCGGCGGGGGGAGTCCGGCGTCCTCCGGTGGCGGCGGGGGCAACCAACAACGCCTGAGCCGCGTTGAGGCAGATCGGAGCAGCCGGCGACCGCGCAGGGAGCACCGCAGCAGCAGCGGGCGTCGCTCTCGGGAGCGGCACCGGGAGCACCGCAGGCGGGGGGAGGACAAGGACAAGGCGTCGTTGCAGCAGGAGGGGGCGGCCGCGGCTGCCAGGGGGGGGAGCCGAGGCTTCCTCTTCCTCCTCCAAGTCCCGCAGCCGCCACAACCACAGCGGTGGCCAGGACCGAGAGGGCTCCCGGAGCGGCGGCGGCGGCGGCAGCGACGGCCGCAGGAAGGGCTCAGCTACGTCGCCTAGCAGCAATCGGAAAGACCGGGAAAGTAAAAGCCACCGGAGCCGGACGAAAGCAGGCAAAGAGCCTCCTTCAGCTTACAAGGAGCCACCTAAAGCCTACCGAGAGGATAAGGCTGAACCCAGGGCCTATAGGCGGCAACGATCGTCCCCCAGCCCTTACCGAGATGACAGCCCAACTAGCCACAGAGCTTCACAAAGCCAACGGAACCGCAAGTCCCCCAGTCCCCGTTCTTCTCTTAGCCCTTACTGGCGTCGATCACCCAGCTATAGCCGGCACAGTTCTTTCGAGTGTGGTGGGGATGTATCACCGAGTCCTTACAGACGCCGCTCACGCAGCCCTTATAGTCCGGCCGTCAGGTAATAATAGGGTTGAAGATTCTTAAAAAGCGCGGTATTTCTGGCTATTCTCTCAAAATATTAGGATAATACAGTAATAATGGGTGTATGTCCTCCAGTTGGTTAATCAAAGATAACTTTGTAATAGTGAAGGTGAGATGGACTGAAGATAAAATGATGTACATTTGAGAGTTGGGCAACTTTTAAAACTTTGGAGGAAAAAGCCTGAGTTTAGCATAGACAAGTACAAATTTTCAAATGTTTTAAGCATATGAAGCATCAACTACAATGATATTAGAAATGGGGATTGTTTAAACAATAGTTATACACGTATTAGCTACTGCAGATAGAAATAGAAAGTTTACTTTGGCATTTGATAATATTTGAGGAAATAGTGCTGTTACGGTGATGATCTGGTGTAAAACACTTTTTTGCACTTAAATCTTTTCTTGACCCAATTACTGGCTAATTATATATGTGGAAACATAATTTTCAGGTAAAACAGATCTGAATAATCAAGCTTTAGAGCAAGATAAATGTTTAGCAGATTTGACTGAGGGATATTCACAATTAGTTGATTTTACTTCATAATGTACCTGAAAATACAGATTTTAGAAGTGTTTCCTAACTGCTGTATATTTCAGTGTGTCTGTCTGTATATCTCAATTACACACATAAATACTCTGAAGTAAACCTCATTGGGCTTAATGGGATTTCTAGATAAAATAATGCATCTCCTAACAAGTCTTTGTATGCAACTCTACACGTTGGCTTTCATCAAATGAACAAATGATATAGCAATTACTGTATCACTAGATAAACAGGTAGTTAAGGAAATATTGAATACAAATAAGCTGACCTCAACCAACAGTTTAGCTCTAAAAAGAAGAGAGGAAGAAACCTAAGATAAAATGGAAAATCATTATTTGCAAGGAGAACTAGATCTCCATTTCTCAAAGGCAATATAGGTTTCTCCATAATTAGCCTACAAAATAGTTTTCTCCCTAGTTCTTTGCATTGATGAAAGACAGCCCTTTTTTCATTTCTCACATGGGGTACTAAGATTATTGGTCCTTTTCCAAGCTTCAGACAGTAACAATCCTCTTATTATATAAATTCTATAGTCTGTATATTTCAGTTCTTTTTAAGGCTATCATATTTCAGGGTGGTGGGTAGAAGTGAAAAAGGTGAAAATATTTAGTTTCTTCAAGGTATTTTTTTCTATGCTGATAAGAGTTTTGGCCTTTGTTATATATATATTTCTTTAAATAACTAATATTGTATTTGAAAATTGTATAAAGGGAATGTGTGTGAGAGTGGGTGAAATCACTTTTGAAACATATGTATACTTTTTATCCTTAGATTACCTGCATCTGCTCCATTTAATTTTATACATATAACTTCATCTACTCAACTACTTGACTGGATTAAGTTTTCATACATGCTGAAGAGCTTTTTGCATTATGGATAGGAGGAATGTATATACTATAATGTATATACTAATGTATGGCTATAGTCATAACCTTTTTCAGTGTTATTTATGACATAGTTTCTGATCCACACTGATTAAACAGATAGGTTTTGTCAGAAAGCAACTTCATGGTTGGTAATGTTCACATTTTGTTGTGTACTATTTTTAACAATGTGCCTCTATTATGTCAGAGAAGTTAGTGATTAAAAGCATTTATAAAACATAAATTATTCTGAAACGTCGTTTCTCTTGCAACAGTGGTTTTAATAATTCTGCCAGGGAATAAACAACTTCAGTTTTATTCTTATTTTTATTTACAGATGTACTCATCATCCAGTTGTTTGTTTAATTTCTCAGAGTGTGGCTCTAGGTCCAAACTTAATCATATTTAGAGTGAATACATATATTGCCATGACAGTTGTTTCATTTCTAAAAAATGCAGTTGATTTTAGGGACGCTAAAATATGGTAGCGTAGATCCAATCCCTAGCAAATAATGGGACAGGTAGTCCTTGACTTATGACCACAGTTGGGACTGGAATGTCCATCACTAAGTGACGCGGTTGTTAGGTGAAACATCACATGACCGCACCGCTTAGCAACAGCAGTTCCAGTAGTCCCAGTTGCGGTCATTAAGCCAGAACAGCACTGTTGTTAGGCGAGTACCTCATGCTTCTCCTGCTCTGCTGTGCTCGCTTTTGCTTCAACTTCCCCCATCCACCTATCTCCCCCTATGTCTGCTGTTTCGACTGCCCTGCACAGTGGCATTCCTTGGTAGCAGCAGTGCTAGGGCTGAATTAGAGGCCTGGGGCCTTTAGCAGTCTCAGCAGGCTGCCATTGCCCCCAGGCCTCTACTTCAGTCCCAGTGTAGCCAGCACTGCTGAGGAGTACTGCCTCAAGCCCCATGTCATGGCCAGCCACCCCAGTGCCACAGAGCAAAGCTCCAGCTGCCCTGTCACCCTATACTCCGCAGGCCCTGCCACGCCCAGCTGACCTTCACCGGCTTCCTCCCGCTGCTGACAAGGTGCACCCAGCTTGTGTTATGTGAGGCAGCTGCTGGCTGTGCCAGCCCTTCTTCTCGAGACCACTTGGACTGTTCTCCAGTTAGCACACCCCGTTCCTGTGCTGCTGCAGAAAGCCTTTGGAAGGATTCTGAGGTCTTCCAAGGCATCATGAAAACAGGGCATGCTATTTGGAGAATGGCAGGTGTGCTCTGTTCTTGCAATGCCTTGGAAGACCTCAGAATCTTTCCAAAGGCTTTCTGAAGCAGTGCGGGAATGGGGCGTGAATGGCGCAAGCAGCCTTGGAAAGAAGGGCTGGTATGGCCAGCAGCTGCCTCGCATAAGGCAGGCCAGGTGTGCCTGATCAGTGGGAGGAAACTGGGGAAGGTCAGCTGGGCGTGGCAGAGCCTATGGAATACAGGGGAGCGGGGCGGCTGGGGCTTTGTGCTGGGGTGGCTGGCTGTGGTGTGGAGCTTGAGACAGCACTCCTCAACAGCGGTCCCAGCTGTGCTGGGATTGAAGTAGAGGCCTGGGGGCTCTAATTCAGCCCCAATGCTGCCACTGCCACCAAGGAGTGCTGATGTCTAGGGCACGCAAAAGGACAGAGATGAGGAAAATAAGGTGGGGGGGGGAGTTGAAGCTCCCCTGCGGTTGTAAGTGTGGGTGGGCTGCCAAGTGCCCAAATTTTGATCACGTGACTCTGGGGGCACTGCAACGGCCATAACTTTGGATGCCCTTTGTTCAGCACCGTTGTAACTTCGAACAGATGCTGAATGGATGGTTGTAAGTTGAGGACTACCTGTACTAAGTAGTTTATGTTCTGTCCTCCTCCTGTCTTTGACATGTGTAAATCAATTCACTGAAGCTTTTCTTTGGTTATGCTTTTTCACTGGATTTGAAGGAGTGGAATATTCTAGCTTCAATTCTGATTTAATTTCTGCAATCTTTGCTTTGTATGATTATTTTTATAGAAATGTGTTGGAAGCTGAAGTAGGCAAAAACAGGAGAGAAAAAAACTATCCAAAATACTTAATCTGTAATTGCATATTAAATGCCAAAATTCTTGTTTGAATATCTGGGTAAGATGCTAATGAAAACAGATTTAAAGGTGATCTTTTTCTTGTTATTGATCTGGTTATCCTTAAAATGCTTTGGGAATGATTTAATATTAGATTTGACCATTCTTTGCTAAGAAGGTCAAGTGATTTTCTGTTGCTCTTGAACCGTGCCTTGGGAATATTTGCTGAATAGGGAGTTGATTGCTTTTGATGCTGTTCTCTAAGGTTGTTCAGAAGATTTTCTGTGAAGGATGTAGTATCAAGGCAACAGTGACTTTGGTATGAATGGGCATATACTGATAGAAAATTTGGGTTGTAATGTTTTGTATTGATACTCAAAATATAGTTTGATTAGTTCCATCTCCTTCCTGGTGAATGCACTCACTGTTAAATAATATGGCTGTAATATATCTCAGTGTATGCTGCACCTAGCTAACCTTGTCAGAGTTTGGAAATTCAGCAGGTCAGGCCTGGTTAGTACTTGGATGGGAGACCACCAGGGAATTCAAGATTGTATGTTAGTCATCAGAAGTTGCTTGACTTGCGGGCAGCTTTACCTTTATAATATAGTATACTCTATTCATTGTTATTGAAGAATTGAACAAAGTATACTATTTTTAATAGATATGTTAATCATGTTTTTCTAGCAAGGTGAGGAATAATACAAGATATTCCTGATTTGTCAGGTTGCTTTTCTGCAGTGCCAAGAGTTGAAAGGCATAATTAGATGTTCAGAGATTTATTTTAAACTCTTTTAACCTCTTACATTTAGCTTCCCTTTGAAGGAGTATGTGAAAATGGGTTATAAACAATGTTACACTACTGATAGTTTCTTAAAGGTTGCGGTGCCCAATTCCTTCTAATATTTAGGATTTTAGCTACTTTCTTATAGTGACATAAGTAACCCCAAAATATAGCCATTCTTGAACAACATAATTTAAATAGTAGTGGATATATAGTTAAATCTATAAAATTAAAGGCTCCATAGACATTTCATATAATTTTTGATTAGTGGCATATGTTAATCAAAACTCATCTGTCAAAATGAGTTTAATATAATTAGTGTTTGTTTTCAGGAGAGGCATTTATAGGAATTTTAATTTTGTTCTGGTGTAAAGTTGGGATGGACTATATGTTATTGAAATGGGAAGAAACAAATAGGAAAAAAAAACCCCAGGGAGATGGCAAGTTATGTGACTTTTTCCTGAGAATTTTTTATTTCTGTTTTTGACCGTTGCCTTTCAAGATATTTTCTGAGTTTTAGAAAAAGGAGTCCTCAGTGGGTAGGAATGGGCAAAAATTCCCCCTGAGAATATCCTCTAGTCTTGTAGACTCAAAGTCTAAACTTATATACATAAGCATAAAATTGAATTATTTTCTTCAGAGATTCAGTACAATTAGTTTTTGGAACCATTGTAGTTCTGCATCTTCTGACTTTCCATGTGTGCTATTTTTTTCCCCATAATTAGGGTGGTTTAGCATTTTAAGTTTA